GACAGAGTAGGCCAGGCAGACGGCCGTCTGGGAGAGAGCGTAGACGGTGCCGTAGCTGGCCTGCAGGCCACCCCGCTCCACCAGCCGCGCCAGCAGCGGCATCAGCGACGCGTCCACGATGCCGATGCCCAGGCCGATGCAGAAGTGCGGCAGCACGAGGTGTACCATGCGCGTCGACTGTGGTAGCTGCGACGGGGGACGACACGGGACGCCACGTAACCGAGCCAGTGCATTATAGAAAGGGACGGCACGTGAAAGGCACGTGATCACACGGTGCGGCACGGTATGGGACGGTGAATAACGACAGCGGATGGTACATGATCGTAAGAGACGGCACGGGACGGCGCGAAGTCGCATGCTATGGCTGGGAATAGTTCGGGACGGTGTGGGGCAGTACGTGATGGCACGGGCCAGCTCGCGGTGGCACGGGCCGGCACGGACAGGACGTCATGTATGAACGACACTGGCTGGCGTGGACTGCACAGAGCGATACGTGACGGAGTGGAACGGCGAGGGACGGTGCATGCCAAGTAGGCACCGGAGTTCCCCGACACTAAAGCGTGGGGAAGGCAAGATGTGATACGAGCTTCGGACCATGAATGCAGCGTGCTGCATGCGTGTATACGAATTTGGCACTTAGGCGTTGAAGGAAAAGTCGTACAGAGGGATATCTCATACTTACTTTGAACTTGGTACATTGTGTCATCTAGATACATTACTTGTCCCAGTCAGGTGACGGGATCAAGCTGAAGACGTCACAATCTTTTCGGGGCTAGCGGATGCAGTTCATGACAAATGGTGTATGAAAAGAATACTGAAACATACAAGAAAGCAAACTGGTATGCCACCAGAATAGAAGAAGACCGAGGAATTTACTCACGCCTTTGCATTCTTCTGAGAACAATATCTGACATCATGACGTCGTCAGTGATGTTGACGTCCGATGGTGTCCCGCAGCATTGTAATATTATATATATATATATATATATATATATATATATATATATAATACGGCTGCATCCGTCACGTGTGACAATAACTATGCTTAATTGGCCGCCGTATCTTTACAAATCACTGCTGCGGCCAGCGCCAGCATTGAGTGACACGCGGTTAGATGGTCAACCCAATAAAAAGGAGGCCCTCAGCTGACAGGCACGTTCCTGCGCCAACTGATGGCCCTACCGCGGTGCTAACAAATGCATGCGGTTGTGCTCTCTGGGCGTGATCCAAAGTATTTTCCCGTGTCACGGTATGCTGGCCACGACGCTCACGGCCCGCTTGCCGCATTCAGCAACGTGCTATCAACCGCCCTGCATTCAGCGCCAAGACCTCTTCTGGACGGAGACGGGCAACTGACACGGGGCCCTTGATTCGCTGCAGTTATACCATAACAATCCGAGCGGAGGAAAATGATCACGACAGTCCGACCATCGGCTGACAGGTGAGGGATGATACGGGATGAAAATGGTCAAGGCACTGCAATTGAGACTGGCTGACTTCCGTCGGCCGGGGATGTTCATGGCTGAAAATGCAAGGAGGCGTCGTCGTCATTAGTTTTGAACGGATGACTGACAATAAGACAACTTTTGAGGGCCCGACCACTTCTAGAAACTACGTTATTCAGGACAACAGATATATACTGACACATTCAGTCATGAATGTTAGGTCTTGTTTATGTCGATAATCATAACTCATGTCCTTAAATCCATGGGCATTGATAAAGCATATGCACGTGTTGTTTTCTACAAAGGTTTTCATATCTCAAATGTCAATACCGAATTGTGCAAGCCTGTATTATACACCTGCAGATATGCGTGTTGACTTAATATAAACCCATATCCATATCTATCTACTACCTATATATATATATATATATATATAATTATATATAATATATATGTGTGTGTGTGTGTGTGTGTGTGTGTGTGTGTGTGTGTGTGTGTGTGTGGGTGTGTGGTGTGTGTGTGTGTGTGGGTGTGTGTGTGTGTGTGTGTGTGGTGTGTGTGTGTGTGTGTGTGTGTGTGTGTGTGTGTGTGTGTGTGGTGTGTGGGTGTGTGTGTGTGTGTTGACTGCTGAGGAAATATAAACTGATTCCGCCGTTAACTTGGTGAAATGCATGCTAATTTTACAAGTTTATCGAACTTACGACACAAATTAAATGCCTTAACATTGCGAGACGAGCAAAAAGCCTGAAAACGTCCCAAAACAACCCTATATAGTCGAATTTAGCCGTCGGTGCCAGTACATGTACACAATGTGTGTCGGTGTGGGGAAGAGCTAGCAGGGTAGGCTCTGAAGGTTGATTTGTGTTGTTAAGTGGGCTATGATGCCCAGCTGAACGCGAAATGCGTACTGGCTTTACTGAGCGCTCGGACCTCGGCTGCGGTGAACAAGTGAGGGGTTGCACACCATCTGCAACGTCTGCCATAGCCTGGCGAATGGTGTCAAGTACAGAGTAAACAAAAGCATGCGCAATAAAATGTTGGGAATGGTCAGGAGCTTTCAAGACGCTACCCCAAGCCATATAACGGTGAGCTACTATGAGCCTAGGAGGGCTACAATGATGACCCTGTCCAGAGATAGGGTCTCCATGAACAAAACTCAAGAAGCATGGATCCAAGTAAGCTCCCAGTGCTCTTAAGATTTTTCTGCTCCTTGTGGTTTGGGAAACATGTGTTGATAATCTTTTAATTCGGTATTATTTTTTAACAAGTTTTGTGGTGGGCCACATTCCACATACCCCGAAAAGTCCATAACATCCACAACTTGACCCCGTGACGAGACCGGGCTCCAACTCCAAAAACGATCAGTACACCGAGATGACTTTACGTACCAAATTTTGAGCAGCTCTGAGACGAGAACGTGTTAAATTTTGGTTCAGCTGTATGTTTAATTTCCGAAACACCCCATTTATGAGAAGACTTGCGGAATGTCCCGAAATCAACCAACAAAAGAAGACACTATATAGACGCCGAAGGTAAATAACACTCTATTGCTGCCAACTTGGCTCCGCCTGCCGGAGCCGTATCTAGCCGAGCATCCGTCCTGCGTCCCGTCGGGGGCCTCATCCGTCCTGCGTCCCGTCGGGGGCCTCATCCGTCCTGTGTCCCGTCGGCGGGTCCGTCCTGCCCTGTCGGTGGGCCTCATCCGTCCTGCGTCTCGTCGGCGGGCTCATCCGCCCTGCGCCCTGTCGGCGGTCCTCATCCGTCCTGCGTCCCGTCGGGCGGGCCTCATCCGTCCTGCGCCCGTCGGGGGGCCTCATCCGTCCTGCGTCCCGTCGGCGGGCCTCATCCGTCCTGCGTCCGTCGGCGGGCCTCATCCGTCCTGCGCCCTGTCGGGGGCCTCATCCGTCCTGCGTCCGTGGGCGGGCCTCATCCGTCCTGCGCCCTGTCGGCAGGCCTCATCCGTCCTGCGCCCTGTCGGCGGGCCTCACCAGCAGGGCCGCCGCTCCGACCGTCATCATGGCGGCGGCGGCCACCCGCCAGCGGCCGAGCCGCAGCGCGACGAGGCCGAACACGTGCGTGCCGATCAGGTAGCCCAGACTGTCCGGGATGAAGACGGAGCCCAGCTGCCACTTCTGCCGGCGCGCAGGGCCGCACACGTCAACACGGCCACATCCGGCTGTTGCACACACGGTACGGGTGTGGCGACACAGAGCGAGTCAAGCGGCCTCATGCCCGCGGTGCCCGCCCTTCCTGCCAGGATGAGAGGCAGGCGACGCCATATAGCCTCAGTAGCTGAGTGCGTCGTAAAGCCCCAATGACATGACACACATACAAGCGGCCTCGTGGTGACCCAGACAACAAGTGCATTACCTACTCGCAAAACACGCAGCCAGAATGTCGCTGAGGGAGACGGAGGTTTTTCAGACGGTCTGCGTACCCGAGGGAGCCAGCGGATCCATTCCGCTCCCCGAGGCTTCTGCTATTACCAGATTTAGTCCATTCTGTTCTATACAGGGGCCATATTTCACGACAGCAAGAGCTCCTTAAATGATCCGAGGAACTACGTCTGTGTATCTCGTAAGGGCTCATCCATTGTTGCATAGCTGTTGCATCATTGTTGCATTTCAATTCGTCGGGAGAGGTATCTATACATGCAAATTTTGGTGCTAGTTTGGAGGGGGTTGGAGTGGCTATTCGGCCAAGGGACCATTAACTTCTCGATTGAGGAGCCTCTGCCCCGTCTGTCTCTGCTGCGTCTTTTCCCAGACGCCGGTAGGCAGTGACTTATCGCGAGTGATAATGCGATAAGCCATGCGTAATGTGGGATGTGTGTTGAAAAACTCAGCAGCCGAGTGTGGATGATACTGATGCCTGATGAATCGTCGTTTTTACTCTGTGACTGAAATAGTGCGTAAGAAGTGGTGGACCTTTTGGTGGTCCTCGACGCAAATGATTTGACGGTGGTCTTCTCCGTTGGGTCCCGCAAATTTGTTTACGGAAACGTTTTGACGGTTAGATCACCGTCACATTTTTAGTGCGAGAGGTGGCTTTTGCAAGCTCGGAGTCGGAAACGGGGCAAAAGGCGTAATGAATTATGGGATGACAGACGACCTTACACTGTAGTGAATCATGAGATGAGAGACGGCCTTACGCTATATTGAATCATGGGATGACCATCGTCCTTACGCTATGCCAGCTGTCTTTACTCTGTCGAAGTATGATGCGTCGTTTAGATGAACAGGCGTTATCTGGCTTTGTTTGACACCAGCTGGTAGGTCATCCATACCATAGTACTCAGAGCGAAGTATTAAAAGGCTAGCACCCGTACTGGTTTCGTTACTTCCGATTCCATTCTAACAGAATGTTCACTCACCTTTTTAGGTCCTGTTCTCCCAAGGATGGATCGAATCACGATTTCTTTCCAAAGCAAACGACAAAACTCAATTAACGCACATCACATGTGTCCTTACCTCATACTGCAAACCGGATCATACCACCGGCTGATAGATTCAGCGTAATGTTCTGCATCGCTATTGTATTTCGGCAACAGAAATCAGAACATAGAGTTGAATTTACAGCATCTTGCTGGCGCCTTAACACTCAATATAGGTTGAACCACTTCTTTTGCTTCTACAGCAGATACTTTCGGTTCAGTTCATGTGGCAACCACTTTCCCGCCAGCACCAGCCCACGCCGGTTATCGTGCCCCCCCCCCCCCCCCCCAGCCTCGCCAGTTGGCGAAGGGGGAGAAATCACCGCGGTCAGCGATAGTCAGAGAACTTGGCGGGTAGGCCTAGCCGTATTACCACTGCCAATGAGATCAGACGTTCTGATGACAACAAGTTTATCCGGTACCGACCCTGAACCCAACAACGGATCATGACCACAGATTAGCCGCAGGACTACCGCGCCGTCGCAGAAGTCAACCAGAGATACGCGCTCGGCACCGCTTTCCCGGCGGCCGGCGGCGCGTTCACTCGTGCCGTTCCGGACCGTGTCGGCGCCGCCTGGCCCGGTGCGGCCCGCCGTCTGAGACGCGCTGGACGGGGTGCGTCGTAACGCACGCCGCCGGTTGACATCCTGTCGATTCATGGCGCTGTTTGCGCCGACCCGGCGCCGGGACGGGACGGGACGGGGCGGGCGGCGCATCACTCGGCCGCTGCTGCTGGCTGCGTGCGACGCGGGCGGGTCTCAGGGGCGCGGCGGTCATAGAGCTGCTGGCTGCGTGAGACGCAGGCCGGCCACAGGGGTGTGGTGGCCGGTGCAGACCCGTCGTGGTGGATGCATATGGGTGCCGCGGGCGTAGCGAAAGGTTTCCTAGTGCTTCGACAAATACAGGCCACCGCGTTTCTCGAGAGCGACCACTATGTGATGTCCGTCAGATCGTGTGTTAACGGGTTCGTTAGTTCAAGTTGCTCACTAGTTGAAGTTCACTAGTTGCCGGGGATGTTTGGTTCGTTTGATGCAATAGGTCAGCGCCAGCTCACCGACGCTTGCAAATGTACGTTAAGTAAACAAACAACGCCTGCTCCAAAGAGCTCCTACAAGACGCTCAATATCTTATTCGGATGGTCGCTTACTCGCTGAAGTTGAAGTTACGAATGCAAAGTACTGCATTTCCGACTGAACGATGTTGAGCCCTGAGCCCGGTTCATGACAGGCCATTTGCTGGTGTATCTTGTTTAACGTGTGGGAGGACCGAGTTGTACCTAGGAGTAAAACGAATCGAGCCTTCGGGTGTAGCGTGTCGTGCACGCGGGTGTGGAGCGTTCCATGATGGGTGTAGCGTGGCTGGCCTGGGTATGCAGTGTGCCATGCTGGTCGTAAAAGTGCACCATACTTCTGGATGTAGTAGTTGATACTCACAATGAGTATGTGTACTGTGTGTAGCGTGAAGTGTAAATTAATGTGTGAAGCGTGCGTGGTGAAGTGTAGTAGTGTAGTGTAGTGTGCCACACTCACAGCCAAACATCCATACCGGTAGGTGTGTCGTGTCACGCCTGCGGGCGTTCCTCATCACACCTGGGGTCAGACGGTCCGTTCCTTATCACACCTGGGGTCTGACGGTCCGTTCCTTATCACACCTGGGGTCTGACGGTCCGTTCCTCATCACACCTGGGGTCTGACGGTCCGTTCCTCATCACACCTGGGGTATGACGGTCCGTTCCTCATCACACCTGGGGTCTGACGGTCCGTTCCTCATCACACCTGGGGTCTGACGGTCCGTTCCTTATCACACCTGGGGTATGACGGTCCGTGTCCATCGGCGTGGGGTGTCCCACCTGCGGGCACGTGGTGTCTAACCTGAGGCTGTACCGTGTGTCGTCTGTGGCCGTGTCTGCCCTATTTACGTGTAAAGCTAGTCACACCTGTGGGTGCCTTTGTGCCGCACCTGTCATTGCACCGTGTTGTACCGTGCGTTGTAGTGTGCCGTACCTGTGGGTGTAGTGTGCAACACCTGCATGTGTAGGTACGGGATCCAGGGCTGTACGCGCTGTACTCAGGGGTGAAAGTGCTGTACTTCTATGCTTTGGGGGAAAATTGAGCCCCCCAGCGCTAATTTGAGCCTCTAACACCCCTCTGAGCCCCTCCATGCTTATCAGCAAAAAGAGAATAATTGGCCACAGAAATGCTCGGAAGTTGTATTAACTTTAGTACACTAAGTATCCAGACGCATCATTATCAGTATCACGTCAAGTTTGTTCCAAAGAGTATTTTGTAGCCTCCTATTTTTTTCATGCAACTCCGTCAGATTGTGGGCCGGCCTGCAAATGTTTGGCGAGTTTGCACATGACAATATCTGAATCGGTATAAAGAACAATTGGCCGCAATGTGTGACAGCTTTAAAAATTACAGGGCTACCCACTTAAAAGTTAAACCGTGTTTCTCTCAACAGTGGCGGGTTTATTTATCGCATGATCGTGACTGTGGTGGTATTTGAATTCCGGCTGATTGGTACACCACAGCCAGCGACAGCGGAATTCATCAGTGATCTATACACGAAACGTCACAACAAAAGGTGCTCCAGGTGGGCCCATTGGAAGTTCAAGGTGCACAACACTGCACTGCTGCAGGCGGTTGATTGTCCGGTCGAATGCCGCCCCTCCCCCTCCCCCAATTTTAGAGAGTGCCACCTCTGGCTGTACCTGCGGTTTTGTAGCGTGCCGTTACCTGTGGGTGTATGGTGTTTAATGAGCCAAACGGGAAGCGTGGGCTCCAGGATAGCCATGACGGAGGTGGAGGAGACCGACGGCGCCGGCCCACGATGTTGATGCGTCGGTCCGCCAGGAGGCGCCACCAGGGCGGGGGTGAGGCCCTCGTCGTCCCGCTCACAGGCCGGCAGCGGCCGCAGCCGCCGGTACTGCACCGCTGGTGGCAGACCAGTCACACTCGGTCAGGTCACGCGCCCTGTGGCTCGGGCGTTTGTAGGCGGGCGGGTGGTGGTGGAGGGATGATGCATATACATGGCAGTGATCGGTCGGCCAGTTCTGGCCCACCCGACGGTGGCTGCGGCTCCCGGAGCGGCCGGGCTGAGAAGCGGGATCAGCGTGCGAGAGGAGACGCGGGTCATCTGTCTTCATCGCTGCAGTACACGTCGTCATCCACCCGACCGAACCGTGCATCGATTTCCAAGGACGTGGACAGGACCAGTTTGGGACTTTCCACGAAGAACAAGCCGAATTGTTTGTGAGACGAAGATTTCTTTTGACAGCTCAGATTTATACACTTACACTAATGATGCACCTTGCGCAGCGTGCGGCGAGCGAGGCGACAACACAAGCGGCAGCAGCATCGTCATTTATATCAGGAGGAGCGAAATCATGCTGCGTCCGATTTGAAAAAGCACTCCCAAACCGCGCAGACAAGCCCAGCATAATAATCACTTGTGTTATTTTTCGTAGAAAATCCATATCTGAAGCCCGTGCTTTGTGGCACCCAGAGGGTAGAACGCATGCGACATTCCTCCGTAGTTTGTGTGTGAAATCTTAACATGCGCCCGGCTGGCCGGCCAGATACCCTTCGTTCGGGTGGGGGGGGGAGCAAATTGACTCCCCTGAGATCTCGGGAATTAAGAAAGCTAGAGACCAAATTTACAGGGTCTCTTGACCTGTACGTGGACTCACTTAGGTAAAAGCTTGGGCTTCCTAGGTGATGATCTTCAGGTCAAATAAGGTCAAACAAAGTCAAATTCCAGATTGGTCTCCAAAGTGCCCCCAGAACCTAGGCAACTGTTTCTAAGCAAAGGTCAAAAGTCCTTTGAGATCAGTGATCTTGTTTGACCTTTGAAGGCCGTGGTGACTAAAATAATACAAGACTGCTCTGAGTTTGCATTTGAATAAGCGACAAAAGATAACGTAGGCAGTATGCTCCTAGAAACAAATTATCCACCCGGGGTCATCTTGGGCCCTTTTCTGACCTCTTAGAAGTCAATGGAAGATGTATAATGCGGTACCTACTGTCAATAAATTCGAAATGAGCATCACAAACTATCCCATACAGCAAGCCCTAGAGTAATAAATCAGGTTGGTTGTGACCTTGGTCTGACCTTCATACCTGACCTTGATTCAACGTAATTTGCTCATTCAATATTGTGGCTCCTAAGAAGCATTTCAGAGATGTATGGCTTCAACAAACACTCCGTTATTGTGTCAGATTGGACGATTCCCTAGAAACTGCCTTCGCTGAAACCCATGGCCTGACCTTGACCTGCCATAGATCAGCAACCTTTCAAGATGCATCTAAATTTTTTATGTCCAACGATCCGTTATTCAATTTCTACAGCTATGCAAAATTTGGCGCGGCGTCGCTGCGCAGTTCGCAAACCATTCTGGAAAAACCTTCGGGGGGCGAGGGTTAATTTGACCCCCCCCCCCCCCCGCCCACCCGAGTGCGTGTTAAGGCTTCATTCTCATGCCCGACAAATGGCTTCCCTCACCCGACAAAGTGTGCTGGGGGGGGGGGGAGGGGGCGCATCGACTGCTATAGGATCACAGCAGCTGACAAATATGCCGGCACTGCATGCACATGTGGCAGCATTAATTTACACGAAGACATGCAGAACACATAAGTCATACAATGCCTTAACCATTAACTAGTAAAGAAGTATGGCTTCTTTCAGCGATTTATTTTCCTTCCTCATGGATGAAGGGGAAGTGGCGACCCACAAAAGGTTTCTTGAATATCGTTCTCCAGTATATCGTGCAATCGTGCCCCCAAGATGTCAAGCAGCCTCTGAGCCATTAACTGGGCGCGTTTTGACACCAAACATATGCCTCTAGCTGTCCCAGTTTCAGTCAATCAGGTTTTTTAAGAACCGATGAATCCCGCCATTTGCGTGCGACGGGCCGACGCTGCTACATTCATGAAGCTCTGCATCACGAATAGACGATCAAGCCATACAAAACTACCCCACGGCGCGTTCAGATTAGAAAGGGAACACGTCTGTTTAACTTTACTGTTGCTGCGCACCATGGCTTTGTTAATACTGGCATGCAAGTCTGAAATAGCTCGGTTTTCAGGAAAAGCTCTGGCACGCATGAGCGGGAACAAGTTTTCACCTAAGAACATGCAAATTATTACCAATCGTAAGTTCCCGTGGAGACAAATCCATGGGTTTTTTCGCAGAGCTTTATCTTTCTTGATTTAAAAACAGCAGGGGGTCATATCAAACCCACACCACATATATGTTGGTGATATGAAAAAAGTCGATTCAGGGCGAGCGTTGAGCGTCACGTCCACGAGGCCCCTGAATCAACTCCCCGTCCTGAAATGTGATTCCCTCCTCGCCGCCGCCCCCCCCCCCCCCCCCTGCCAGCCGCTAGGTGTGCAGAAAACTTGGCGTTACAAAGAACGCTGTGTGAAGGGAATGGATCGATTTCGATGGATTATTTTCGGCTCAGTGACAAGAATATAGCACCAACGAGTCAATAGCACACCTGAAAGTTATGAAACACATTTCATACAGCTTACCAACAACGGTATCTTAGCTTTTAGGCATATCTCATGCACATTAACGATAACTGTAACGCCGGACACGGCCCCTCCCCAGTCACGTAATGGTGATTACCTCAAGCCAGGCTGACAAATCGCTGATGCCGTCGCAGCCATCAATTCTCACAGTGGTATTTCTTTTCCTCAGTATGCCGAAGGCAACGCTAACGGGAACGAGGTCGTTGAACGATCCGCTCCAGACACGCGACCAGGGAGCCATAATAGGCCATGGTATTGAGAAACGTTGTTCTACCCGTGCAAATTTGTCGGCGATCTCCTAAGTGCTTGGTAAATGTTTTAAATTAATGCAACAATGAATGTCGTGAATAGCTTGGAACAACACCCCGCCCTTGGCATAATAACACGCAAGCGTTCCGTTTGCACAGATGTGCCCGGCCACGACATATTTAAATGAGTCCGTTCGCAAATACATATTTTTCCTTGTTCTGAAACGTACTCTTTAATAAAGACAAATCATGAAGCAAAAAGAAGCGTCATGACCGCTTTCCCATACCAGCTCCTAATGATATGAAGAACCATTTCGGAGCCCACACGAATGAGTCTAGCCAAAACATTTGAATTCTGAACTTTCCGAGGCGCTGTCGTACGCAAGTTTCCTAAAGGACGGATTCAAGCTGGGATTTACATCCGTGTCAGGTTTATGATCCCCAAATCTCTCGCTTTCACAGTGTGTCGCACTTAGCAGGGATTTAAACGGCAAGTTTCACATTTGAAGATATTGAAGCAAACATCAAATATGATGAAACAAACTCATTGATTACTATTGGTCCCCTTTGCAAAAGAAAAGACTGCTCTTGACAGCACGCTTTTGTCTGCTCAGTAAATTTGCTCCCCGGAACGTTATTGTTTGATTAGGCCATCGTACCTTGCGTGACATTAATTGACGGCCAATTGGCGGCCGCTGTACGTGGAAATCGTGCTAACAAACGCAAGATAAAAACGATCCGACCATTGGATTTTTCTTAGCTTTATCGTCGCATGACTTATGGAATAGCAGAATTTTAATGACGCTTTTCTGACGTCACGAATGTCGAAATCACCTTGAAGTACTCCCCCGAAATATTCTCCATTTTTGCGAGCGTGTTAGCTCAGAAACTAGAGTGGTTAGTCTTAAGAAGGGCATGGATGTGGACTGCACCGCAAGGTTTGCAAGATGGCTGTTCTAATTCAAAACCACATAGAAATGTGGAGCACTTCCTTCAATAAAGGACTTTTTCCGCTTCCCTGTTTATCACTGGCGCGCCTATGAGTCGGGGAGTTTTATGACAGCTTACTGATTTTGAAACCTCTTCATTTCCACTACATCATGCAACTGGTGCCACGCCTTGATCTGTTCCGGCTTCTTAGATCTAACAGCACTGTTTCAAATACCCCACGAACAGTGTGTATATTTTTTGCGCTCGCATACGCGAGGCGACCCACATAATGCGGCTCACGTTTTTGTCGATACCATCCACCAAATGTCATTCATCAAATCATCAAATGTCATCAAGCGGCATCTGCCTCTGGAGGGCCAGTTCCCCCAGATCTGGGCCTGTTACCATCCGTGTTGTTCAGGTCCTTGCATTTGGGATATTTACGCTTCCCCACTAAATCGGAGAGGTAAATTGGGTGCTGTTGCAAAGTGGTACGAAGACTACATCTGACTACAACTGAATCAGTTTGCTGTGCATATTTCTTTCAATCTGTTGAATTATTTCCTTTCACGGCACAATTTGTGAAAGAAATCGCGTATCTTTGCTGCCAACTACATTGCAGCGTGATTATTGATTCCAAAGGCGAGTCCCTCCCAATATCGTGACTAACCGGTCCGGCCCCCGGTGCACCAGCACTGAGAATAACTCCGCCGGGCCTCCATGCACCAGACCGGGCCGTAACTAACCGGGTTGGGCTTTGATGCCCCAGCACTGGGAATAACCGGGCCAGACTCCACGCACCAGCACCGAGCCGCTTAAGCCACAACTTGCAGAGTTTGCTTTGACATTGGCACTCCTACCAAGCAGTGCGGTTATGTAACAATCTGGCAAGCTGTTACGTGACAGCCCACCCCTTCCCCCTACCCTGTGGCAGTGTTTTCCATCTCCAATTTTTCTATAAACGCAACCGCCATAAAACGACCGGAGCCAACGTGACCGCCGCCGTCGCTGGCCTGTTCGGTGCTGCATCTATTTGAGCATACCAAGGCGGCATATGCGTCAGCTGATATCCCGGTAGAAGTTTAACAGAAGTGTCCGACCTTTGAAACATATTTCAAAAGCATGGTCTGGTGAACGCTAAGGATGCGCCATTAATAGAATAGCACTGGGGAACGGAGCTGCATCACTAACAATGTATTAATAGCAGCTGAATTTAGTTATTTTCGAGTCCAATTTACGTGCTCAACATTTCAGACCACGCATGAACTCCTTTCTTCTTTAAGCATTCCCATATGTCATGCCGTGCATAGAGGACGCGTAGCGTGAAGCTCACTGTGAAGCTCATTGTAGATTTGAATGATTGTTAGATTTTCCTCAACACGTGTAAATTGCTGATGAAAGCTTACAAGGTGTTCGGATAGCCCTTTGCAACATATGATGGCTTGCTTTCCCGAAATATTACATATCTGGTAATAATGATGACAGTGCAGTTCGCGTCGGTTCATCTGCCCAAAAGACGCTAATTCAGAAGTTGTGATGGTTTACTGATATGCGTCATTGGTGGCATATGAGCGGTGAAGCAATGCTTTTTTACCTGTTGTGTTTCATTTGAACCAATATATATGAAAAGCCCACTTCTATGCCATGTTTTTGTAAAAACTGTGCAAGTGGAAAACCGGAGAGGTGTTGCTGAGGTGATGAGCAGCTGATATTGTCAAGCATGAGTCAAGGATTTCAAAAAAAAAAGTTTTGTTGTGCTTTTGCCATCATAGCAAACCCCCAAAATGGCTTGCTGTATTGATTTCTGCGCAGTAATGCTGCTACTTCATCGCTTTGCGCGCAAAGGTGAATATGCTGAATGTACAAAAGTTGGGCTGGTTGATTAATGCACTTGAGCGAAATATGGAGGCTGGAAATTATGAAGGACGTTTACCATGATGTTTACAAGCTTCCACTCAACGCTTGATGGCTGGTTCAGCCAAATATTTTAATTACATTGCACAATATCGGCATATATGTTTCAGTGGTTTGTTAAAGGCAGAAGTCGGGGGTTGTCATTCAACATCAACATAAATTGTTGGTGATCTTCAAGCAGCAAGTGAAGGGACGCTTTTTGTATGCCTTGTGTTTTTCGCAAGTCATTGAAATATTTAATGATATTTTTGCCCAGTGTTTTTGTTGAACTCTGTATGGGAAAACTAGAGGGGTTCACCTGAGATTGTTAAGAAAGGCCAACATTCTGCAACATGAGTATAGAGATTCAAAATATCACATGATGTGTTCTTGCCATTGTCGCATACCTACAAAAGGTTTGAAATTGAGTGAATATGTTCAGTTACCTGCCTTGTCTTTTTTGCTTTGCCAGTACAATATATGGTATGGATCGTACCAAAAATTGTGATGGGAGATAATTAGTGCGATTGAGCGACAACTCTGGGGCCTGGAAATATTGTAGGACAGGTGCTTGCGGCTTGCTTTGCTAAGCGACTGAGTTTCCATGGATGATTCGTGTTTGCAGTATTTCGGGGTGCATTAAGCACCATTCGTGGGACTTCCTGGCCGACCCGACCCCTAGCTGCAGGGACGCCTGACTGAAACCGGGTGTAATGGGCTGACTACCAGGTATGTAAGTAGGTCGTGGGAAGCAGATTTAACCGATAAGCCATTTTTCATACCGCGTCATGGGCATCATGGTGTTGAATCCCTTGTAACCTTGACGGAAATCGGTGGGTCATAGCCCACCAAATAGCCTATAGGGAATGACAGTTGCTCCAACCTGAGAAAAACGTTGTCATAGCGCTTTCCGGTTTCGTGCCACCTAGCCATGTGACAAAGCTGATGGGGCACAACAAAGCGGCACAAACAAATGATGATTAATATCATTTAAAGCATTCTTCAATAATGAGCTCACGCTCTGCTTACTAAGACAAAATCCGCGATTGTCAACTTTCAAATCGTGCTTTACGAATATCTACTGCAGTTTGAGCGTTATTACGCATTCGTAAAGCGCAAGAAACCCACACTTGCTATCACTGCGAATGTAAGATCTCTCTCATGTCGCCACCGCCACCTGTCTATGCTGCTGCACTGCTTTCGTGTTATCATACTCTATGATGGCTCTAAAACACGCCCTCGCGAACCACATGGGAGTGCTGTTTTGCCGCAGCGGTGAGCCTTGCTGAAACTTACTGCATTTGTAAGGTCTTCTTATCGCACTCGTCGCAAATTATTCTTTGCTCGATATATTTGGTTACTCTGACATTTCTCAAAGCAATTAGTTTGGGTAATGCATTGGATCGTTACTATCACTCACCTTTCTCGGCTTATGGAATGAATTCATGGCTCATTTGATTCACCACTACATTAATTAAGTGATTAACGACGGTTGCGGTACGCCGGCAACATCCAGTGCGTGCGACTTAAATTGTTTTACTTAACGGGAGTGTTCCACATTTATATGGGAGTTTGAACTCAAAAAGCCATCTTGAAGATCTTTCCGTGCTGTTCACGACCCTGCCCTTCTTAGGACCTAAGTCTCTCTCTAGTTTCTAAGCTACACGCTGGCACAAATGGGAAAGTTATATCGGGGAGAATATTGTTAAGTCATGTTGGCCCTCATGGCGTCATAAAAATGTCATTCAAATCCAGTCAAATGACGTAATCAAACCATGACGCATTGAGAGGCACATTTACTCAACAGAGAAGCGTTCTGTCTGGAGCAGTTTTTACATTGATCTTCAAATGTGAAAAATTCCCTTTCATATACTCACCGCCAGTGACTGGGCAATGAGCCGGTGTCATTTTGACGACGCGGAACTGTGGAATTGACACCTTTTAGGTCAAGTTGATGTATGTCCAGGAATGCGCACCGAATAATAAATGTATGGGTGGCAAAGGCAGGCAATGAATTGGTGCATGCGGTAATGCTTATTTTGCCACGTTCCTGGTTAAGTTTCGACGGCGACGTGTTGTATCTGGCGTCGTTTTCGAAAAATCGACATTCCCAGCTTGCGCGACGTTTCTCAGCGCAATCATACGTCGTACAAGCGCGAGTTGAGGGCGTGAATTGCAGACGGTACGTTAGTCAACAATTTGAGCTTGAATTTGTACTTCTATCTGCTTCGGCAGCTGTGCAATGATACAAACTGCAAAAAAATCCTAAAACCCGGGCAAAATGTTTTGGCCGCTTCTGTGAACGTGACATGAGGCGCGTGCTCCTGCACATCTGGGACCACACGGTGCCCCATTCCATTGCCTCCCTGAGAGTGTCAATGTCTTTGCTTGACTACATTTTCGCTCCGGTCCGACCCCTAGTTACCAAGATGTACCCATCATATCGAACGGCTGCTCGTTGGCTTTGTCGTCGGTCACATTTTCGAGCCACCCGTGCTAACCGCTTTTCGGAAGGATTTAGAGCAAATTGGTATTACCGATCAAATCGGAACCGTATGACTAATTATGCACAACAAGTGCAGCGAATGCTAGATATCCCCTTAAAGCCCAGCGTACACGGAAGCTGCTGAAGGACGCAAATGCATATTACGTGTCACATAGCGATATCCATGTCGCAGCTTAGAACTTACACACCACGCCGTCGGTGCGGCTTTAAGATCCTGTCATTGTGGGAATTTACCACCAGCCAACAGCGCACGTTATACCAGAGCGCTGTCTTAACGTTCCTTTCCTGAAGACACTGAGCAGGAGGGCTGCCCGTAACTGCACACGGAGGGATGGCCCGCTCAGCTGATCACCAGACATGCTGCACCAAACCCTGCGAGCGGATGACCGGCGCGATCGCAAGAGGGACATTGCGATATCCCGCTAGGCGAGGAGTCTACTACTTCTAATGCTGTACTACTACGTCTACCACTACTACTATTACTACTGAGTCAGACTACTGCATATGGCACGCGGCGATCGGCACGACGGGCACCTCACCGAACATGGCGGTCAGCAGGGCGGCCAGCAGCCAGAACGGCGGCGACTTGCCCATCAGGTCGTAGCTGAGTCCGCCAAACGGGTATCCGATGAGCACGCCGACGGCCATGGCGCCCATAACGCGGCCCATCACGCGCGACCGCTCGCGTTCGTTCGGGTACAGGTCGGCCACAGTCGACAGACCTGCAGGGTGAGGTCAGGGAGGTCAGACAAGACGCGCGTTTTGACCTCTAGAAGTTCGTGGCAGCCAAAACCCTACGAGATTGTCATGATTTTTAAATTTGAATAAGCGTCAATGATCATGCTAGTCGGTATGTTCCTAAAAGCAAAACGTCGACCGGGATCATTTCAGGTCAGTAACCTACTCTGACCTTAAATATATCAATGGAAAATGTCAGTTGCTCTCCCCGTTGTCAATTAACGTTCGAAATCGATGTAAAAAAAATGTTAACGTTCGAAATGAGCGCCAGAAACCGGCCCATTCAGCAAGCTCGCGAGTAAAAAGCAAGTTGGTTTAGAGCTCTGTCTGACTTTCAAACCTGAACCCAGATAAAGGGAATTTGTTGCGACCATAAATTCAGTTGGTCTACTGTCTCATAAACTATCTCAGAGACGTATGGCTTCGCCTTACCCTTCATTGTCGCATCGCATTGAACGATTCCATAGACACTGCATTCGCCGACAGTCACGACCTGATTTTGACCTGTCATAGGTCAGGGACCTTAGAAGGTATATCTAATTTTTTACATTACTTTGGCCAAAACGGCCATAAACACAACGTATGGCGGAAGCGATTAGTTCAAAATGAGTCAGATGCCACCGTCATTTCATGTGTTATGGCACGTGCTCTCTGATCTTGTCGCTAAGACGATGGCGTGGAAGCTTGCGGTCACCTGCGTTTGTGTCTGTGGCTGCTAAGGACTTGTTGGCAGGAGCAAGGTGGGGAAACAAACATGATATTCAGTGAATCCGGGGTTATTGAGGCAAAGCGCCAATTTTCCATGACTGCACACATTTCTCTAACCAGCCTTGGACGAAAGCTTATGTTGCAAGTGCAAAAAGTGGATGTTTGAGTTATATAGACAAGTCTACATGCATCTACCAAATGAAATAATTAAATTTACACGACTACATTTTCTATACTTCTGCGAAGTGTGCCAAAGGTTTGCAAGAAAGATCTCGTTGTGGCACAGGTACATCACACAACTGAGATTTGGAAAGCTTTCTGAAATGCTTAATGCACATTGTTTCCGTGTATTTCTATCAATTTTAAGGAGCACCAGGGTGTCCGGTGTAGTTTCATGTTGTTGGGTGACCTTAGTCCTCCCACACCTAAAACAAAAAGTGGAATAAATTTATCTATTTTCTCTACTTCGGCCTCTAAACTCAGGGCTGCCAGGGGTCTCAGGTAAAATTATGGTTCTTGCTGCTTACATTGGCACCACTTGAGACTAAAGATTTGCTCCTGCTGGATGTCGGCTTAATCCTCAGCGGTTTCTTGGGCCTTGCTGGATCTCCACATGTTTCAGGCTGGATCTTGGTTCTTCCTAAATCCCTTGACATAATGTCAGATTGGATCTTGATTCTTGCTGGATCTTTTGGCATAATGCCAAGCTGGATCTTGGTTCTCAATGGATTTGTTGGATCTGTGTCAGAGAGTATCTTGGTTCTTGCTGGATCGTTTTGGCTTGTTGTCGGGCTAGATCATAGTTCTTGCTGGGTCTCTTGACTAACAATGAGACTGGATCCTGGTTCTTGCTTGATTTTCGGCTTAATATCAGGCTGGATCCTGGTTCCTAATGGACACGTCGGCTAATTATCAGGCCGGCTCCTGGGCTCTTGCTGTTTCCGAAACCCGACACCAGGAGTCAGTTCTTGGTTATTCGGTCACAAGTCTTATTTCCGTAATAACTAGTACGACTACCAACTTCCTGAATTATGTGGCACAGAACGTGATCGGTGTCTAAAGCTAGCACTGAATGCATCACATTGTTTGAGGGGCAGTAAAGACCTCTGGTTCCAGAAATCACTCACGTACGCCCGAACGAATAACTTGAGAATCATATTTGTCTTAACCATGAACGCCGCATAGATAGTGGGATGGCAGTATTTGAGTGACGTTTTTATGGCGTTATGCAAGCCTGGGTGACCTTAAAATAGTCACCACTAAATAACATGCACAAATTCGCGGTCGTCCAGCCCAGAAATTAGAGGGTTTAGGGCTTAAGAAAGGCGAGGCTGTGATTGCAACCGAATGTTCTTCCAAATGGCTATCGATACAATGGCCTTCAAAATGGCTATCAGTACAACGGCCTTCAATACGGCTCCCACACAAGTGCCGAGCACTCTCTTTAACTAGTCGGCATAACTAATGCAATATTTTCCAAGATATCTATCTATTTTCAGCGAATAAATCTTGCTATATCACTTATACGAACACCAATAATAAGCTTCGTAAACCAGATACTATTCACAGAACACAATTGCTTTAATAAACTAGAAACCAGCATTGGTATTCTTTGGATTTGGCTGTTAGCTACCATGCATATCAGGTCTTGCTCATCCAGTTCTAGATATATATTCTTCGTCTACAAACCACGGGGCTAAAATGCATGAAATTCGACGGCAAAAGACGAGCAAGAACTTTCATTTCGTTTCTTTGCCGGTTGTTGTACCATGTGGACAAGCGGAGACGCTAGGGTCAGATGATGGTGCTCGCTCGGGGTCATCATTCACTGATGACAGGGCCAGCGCGGTGCCAGCATTCCAGACCGTGATTGCCTAGGTCGTGAACCTCACTTGACAGTTATGGCCATGTGTCGGAATCAAGAGCATGCGCCCAACAAAGCAAAATCAGCAGGGCAGTGACAGCTATGAAAACCCATCATATGCGGGGCATGTTACGACCGACGCTTTAACATGAAAAGCTGTTCGAGAGCAGACATACCCGGTAGGAGGCTTCATAAATAGCTGACGTCATGCGACAAGAAACGATGTCTCGTGGGTATTGTCTGGCGGGATGGCAGCAGCTTAGCGTGGAGACCACCAAAGACGGGTCACTGGGGACATCACGGCAAGGCGGGGCTGTTCTCGGCACAGTGTTCCATGACTCCATGGTCAGGTTAACAGAGTCAACCATCAATGCAAATTATGAACAAAATATTCGTACATTTGCGCATTGCTTGACAACCACGGTAGCTGAGGATATGAAGAGAAAGACGCGCCGTGCCTACCGGCATATTTGTGTATATCAAGCATGTTTCAACGAGCACGTCATGCGAGTAATGGGCATGCCGATCATGTATCACATTTTCAGTGGGATTACTTTATCATTATGCAGTTATAGTCGGAACATTTTGATTGCATGGTTTTCTGGGGTTCGAAATTACACCAAACCTTGTTTGTTGTGTGAGCCCTGACCCACCATCCCATCACGAAATTCCAGTCCTACGGCACATTTATACTCGTCTCTCATCCCTACCTCCTGACCTTATCTGATCTTGAGCGTCCGCAGTCGCAGACTGCAGGCCATCCCAGCCACAGACAAATAACGAGCGCCGATGAGAATTAAACCCGTCGACTCCGCCACCGGAGGCTGGGAAACAGCGGCTCAAAGCCGTCGAGTCACAGGGGGGGAGGGGGGAGGGGAAGGACAACGCCAAAAAGCCAATGGCGGCAATGATAACCGCCATTTGATGATGCTAGAGTAGGCAAGACGAGACCACTGATCCTTACCATATCAGGGACTACGCAGAGCACCTAACACGCCGTGCGGCAGTACACATTGAGAAGACTGTGCACGTTATCACGTGTCACCAGTTTCCTTGGGGTTTCAGTAGGGCCTGGTCAGGGCGGTGAATGTCGTACGCGCCGTGCTCAATTCCAGAGATCAAAGGCGATGGTCTTGCTCGACCCAGCTGGGTGGGAATCCAAGGAGCACAAATGGAAAAGGCGAGCTTTGACGTAGTCACCTACGATTGTTTGATATCGTTAACAGAGGAACTTAAAATCCATAATACCGAACTTTCTTCCTACATCAAATGTGCAATTCACAGATAGTCAGACAACCTGGTCTCACTGTCTTTTCCTCTCAGTGCTAAGCCAATGACATCAATAAATGGTGCGCGCCTTTCAACACAGCGTGGAAATTTTGGAGTCAGGACAGCTTTCAAAGAGTGGCGCTTTTCGGGTTAATTCAAGACAATCATGTATATTTTATGTTTTTGACGCATACATGATAATTCGCGTCTGTTCTGAAAGGCGGGGGCGAGGGTCGGGACTAGCGCTTTGTAAATGGGAGCTCCTAGTAGGAAGAAAACAACAGTTTTCCGACGTTTACTTTATTTTGGAGTTCAATATCTGGAACTACCAGGGGCACGTAAACGCAAGGTTACACATGACTGGGTAGAAAGAACAAGTGACGTTAAAAACGTGAAGCATGAAGTGGTCCAAAGTACATAACTTGAAGCCAGAACCTTTAATTTCACCAACACCTTTTCGGCAATATATATTCTAAGCTTTCCCACGCAGAAGCACAACGATTAATTGCATTGCAAACGTAGTTTAACAATATTTACCTGCGAAATCCCGCATCGAAGCTTGGTGAACACCAACGTATGCATGACTCGTTGTCGCATAATTAGCCCGTCCTGAATTTATGTGACACTTAGGCAATCTGGGATGCTATTTACGGCACCGAGATAGATTTGTGTTTTGCAGCAGACGTTTCCATCGTCTTTGTTACATACGAAATGGTGCCACGACATCGGCGCTTCGGCAAGAAGTCCTACCGGCAGGAGTGTCACGACGTTGATGCATGGCAAAACTGATCAGATATACGCGACATAACTTCGGCTGCAAAACTCGTGCAGATTTTACTCATACGCGACATTAACTCTACTGCCAAGACTTAATACGACATCGATACTACACGACAAAACTTGGCATGCAAAACACATAGCTATTATGTCTACAGCAAATACTTGACCACAAGTCTGCTGTAACAGTAATGTGTTTAAATCTTTGCAGCAGAAGTAGTGCCGTGTATAAAGAATGGCTTCAAAACGTTTGCGGTAAAGGCAATGGCGAGTGTAAGTTCTTGACGTGAAACTTTTCTCGTGAAGCACTAATTCCGCATAGACGTTTTCGCACCAGAAAAATGTCGTGTGAAAGCAATGACTGCG